AATAAAATTGAACAAGAGGTCTGGAGCTTCAAAGGCTTTGACTCCAGGCTTCAAGTATGCTGTTGCTCTACTGCTATTACTGTTTATCCACATTGCCGTCCTTTGTCTGGATATGGTCCTTTTCTGGCAGGATCAGAGAACCTACCTTCCTCCCTCACCTCCTCTGTAGAGACAATTTCTTAAGTATAGGTGGAAAAGGGAAAAAGGTTTTCAGTCCTTCTCTCTTGGAATAGGTCATTGCCAGACAACATGCACAGAAAATAGGATTCCCTTTGGGATACCATCCTTTGTGACACGCAGCTAGTTTGTTTGACTTTAAATCAGCAACACTTTGGCAACAATGTCAGTTGTAGGGATACAAGTTAAATTGAACTAAACCATCAAAGGGAAGCACCAATTTTTTATCTTCATGAAGTTGCTGTAGCAAAACATATATATTTTTAAAAGATTTTCCTTACTACCGTTATTATCCTTATTATCCTGGATATTTTTTTATTATTATTTTTTGTAGGAATGCAAGGAAAAAGATGAAGCCAGACTCCTTTCTGGACAGTGAAGAAATCAATATTCAGTTTGAAAAATCTTCAAAAAAACCAAAAATTATACCTGATGAGCAAGCAAATGGGGTGTACGGTCTGGTTATCACTGGCCACAGCCTGGTAAGGAAGGTTCAGAGCCTTTCTAGGGATGAGTTCCCTGAAGAACTTATTGGAAGACATACTGGAAGTCTGAAAAATGGTTTAAAAATATAGCTGTAGAGGGCAGATTTTTTTTCCTAGTTGAGAATTAGGCTTAGTGGTTATCTGAGATATCAAAGGGTATTGAAAAGGTTTCAGAAGGCTGGAACAGGGAAGAGTTTGGCCTGATCTTTGGTGAACAAGACGGCTAAAGTAGCTGGATCAATTTTAATTCCCAGAAAGACACTAGAAAAATAACCAGGTAATTTGTCCATGCATCAAGGAGATAACATCAGAGACGGGTTTCAAGTTTGCTAAGAACATGTTCTACTGAATATATCTTATAACAGATATGCTTAATGGATAGGATGTAGATCTTGTAACTTCACTAATAAATTGTTTTATGCTCTCTCCCATGATGTTCTTCCAAGCAAACTGAAGTAATATACTTTAGATTAAATTGTTAAGTGACAGATGCAAGACTACTTGTAAAGTGTGGCTCTTAAGGGCTCACTCTTGATCTAAAACAACAGTTAACTGTCCTCCTCAGAGGGTTATCCCACACCTATTTGATGCTCAGTGTTGGCATTAACTGCTTAAAAAGAGAGCAGGTAATACCAGGCTGGGAGAGAGTATAAAGGAAACGAAGAGTAGTCATGCATGATCTGGAAAGCGTAGGGGAAAACTGAGGGAGTTAGGATTTCTGAGCCTCTTCAAATAATGACAGGTAAACAAAGTAATGGAATTAAACTCAGATAAGAGAGTTCTGGGCCCTGGAATAGATTTTCTATACTTGGAAATTTTTTAGAACAGGTTAGAGAAAAAAAAACCAATTTAGATCAATTTAAACCTGTCTGGGAGGAAGGCTTAATTTATTCAAGTTTTTTTATCTGTTGTATTTTACTTTGGCAGATCTTAGTGAAAGCAAATATGCAGACATGGAAAGTACCAGGAAGTGCTGCATCTCAGAGACGTTTCTATTCCCTATGGTTGCTACCTCTCTTGATGGCAGTCTAGCAAATTTCATTCCCAGCTCTGTATCACCCCAGTAAATTGCTATTATAAAATCTCATCTTGCTCTGCTTTTTGGCTTATGTGCCATGTGTATGGACCCCAGACATTTTCAGACACCTAAACATTGTTAAGTATCCTCTTTTCTTTGCACTCACTCCCTCTTTAACACTCACTCCCTCTTTAACTACCGGGACGTAATTGCCTTTAGATCCCCACTGCAAAGCAGACAAGAGATCTGCCAGGTTCGGTACATTTGCATGGATGGGCATCGGCCACAAACCCCTGCCCATTCCTACTTCACCCCCTCAGCCTACAGCACGGCACCTGAGTGCTGTGCTGTCAAAGCACTACTGGCAGCAGTGGCAAAGCTTTCTTTTTATTCGTGGAAAACCACACACACCCACAAGCTGGCAAGAGATTACATCCCCCACAAAGAAACTCAAATCTGGGCTGTATGGGAACAGCCAGGCTGTATTAAGCGGACACAACCAGTCTCACCAAGACTGTGGCTTTCTCCTGGGTGGCAACCACAAGGACAGTGCAGACAAAATAAGATGTTATTTACTTTTATGAGCTTGAACAATGATAGTAGTCCTGATACTGCCCCACCCAAACACAGCAAGTGCTCAGTGCTATATCCCTACCTGCAGATGGGTGGGATGGCAGTGCTGGGGCTATGTCTGGTGTTGCTTGAACAAACTGATTGAACAGAAACACATCAGCATCTGTAAATGGCATCATCACACTAGTTGACTTGTGTGCAGTAGTACCTTTAACACATGATGTGATAACATTTAGCGGGTGCTGTGCAGCAAGGATGTTAAGACAAAAGCCATCTCTGCCTGTACCAACCAGTGGTAACAAAGTTAACTATGGAAAGGTCTCCTGTTGAGCAAACCTACAGCCACTGACAGAGAGAAGTGGGGACACTGGTGACTCACAGCTCTCTGTTTCAAGAAGAAAGGATATGTGGCCTAAGGACTGTCTGCCTTATGCAGAAAGGGCAGTGGGCCTGCTGTCATGGCTCCTAGGAGAAGGGAGCTCTATAGATTCCTTCTGTGCATGTCTGCTAAAAAGAGACCAAAAAAAAAAAAAAAAAGAACAGAGACAAAAAGCATGATCAGATAGAAATATGAAAAGCTAATGCTGCTCCCTCCTCCTCATGCAGAACTGGAGGGGTGACGAGACATCCAATTATCTCTGTGCTTCCCGAATAGAAATAACACGGCTGACTGATTTAAAAGGTCAGCACTCAGAGCAAAGCAGACTTCTCCCTGGCTTTTTATTTCGCTTTGTCATGCCCACCTGAGCTTAACTTTTCCCATGATTTATTTTTTTTCAATTAAGCACTCCTAAATTGAAATCTCTCCTATTTATACCACAGATCTCCCCGAGCTTAAAAAATAATCCATGAAGGATGAGCAGAGACTCTCTCACATGGAGATGCACAAGGTTGTCTCAAGCCTGGCCACAGCTTCGTTAATTTAGTGCTCCTGGTGTCTGACACTTCTGCCACTCTGTCAGGTTACATCAGCCAGAGCAGCTGCTGTGCATATCCAGCTGTTGTGCACATCCAGATATGATGCAGCCAAGGTGCAAACTCCTAGGCCTAAGCTGTGCAGTATGATACGCAGTGTGGGTGTCTCCTGTGACTGAGCTGATGGATTCACTTGGGGTATCCCATACCTTCCTTCTGCTGACTGACAGAGCTAGCTCTGTTCTCATTTCCAACTTGCTGCATTCTGTTTGTTAAGCCAGGCATTGCTGAGAGTCTGACCTGAACAACCCCTTTGCTACTTCTCAGGCTTATGCATTGGAAGGGAACTTGGAGCTGGAGCTGGTGAGAACTGCCTGCATGTGCAAAGTGGTGATCTGCTGCCGGGTAACACCCCTGCAGAAGGCCCAGGTGGTGGAGCTGGTGAAGAAGTACAAGAAGGCTGTGACTCTGGCAATTGGAGATGGTGCCAATGATGTCAGCATGATCAAAAGTGAGTGAAGGCCCACAGCCAGCATGCTATAGCAAAATGACTTGCTGATGTATTTGCTATCTGAGGTCGGCTAGCAGTGGAAACACAGACTTGAGTACCTCCTGTACCACCCTCTTTGTGAAATCAAGAGTCTGTGTCCCAAGATTTGACAGGTCTCTACAGAGCACTGTCACTACAGGTTGCTCATATCTCCTGCCTTCTAGGTTGGACTGGATGTCAGGAAGCTAAAGGTGCACTAAGTGCCTATTTCTCTGTTTCTGCCTTGGAACAGACAAAATGGTTGGACTTGATGATCTTATAGGCCTTTTTCAATCTAAATGATTCTATGATTCTATGAAAAGTCCAGCCAGGCTGTAATGTGTCCTTATGTGTGTCTATATCACAAGGGCAATATATAAAACAAACAAGTTTGTTTCATAAAGGGCCTGGCTTCAAAGCAGAAAGAAAACATTCCTATATAATATTATGTAGAGGTTTTTTTGCATTTCTTTATATTAGGGCCATTTGTTAATTATCTCCCTTGAGTTATAAATGCTGGGCTTCCAGGCCCCTTCATCCTTGAGCATCATTTGATGCTGCATTACCTCAGTGAATTTACAAAAAAAATCCCCTAACTAGGTATAATTAAATTAAGATTATTCAGAAGGGCCTATTGCTAATCTTCCTTGTGCTAATTTGCAAGAATTGATTAACTGGAGCCTTTTAATTAAGAAAGAAAAGGCTAAGTAGAGAGCTTCAAGGGAGATTAGTCAGGCAGTCAGCAAAGAAAGGGGAAGAAAAGTTAAAGTGTACATGATAATTAGAAACCAACCCAGTCCCCCCACAAGAGGATTGGGACTTTGGGATTTTATCAATTCACTGTTCCGAGGCAACCTCTGAATCTAACAAACCTCCAGCCATCAAGATTGTTCTCATTAGTTAAAGCTGCATAATTAGCTGTCATATTAAACTTATGTCCATGTTTAATAAACCCAAGTTACTATTAAAAAAGATGTGGCTCTTCTATCTAATTATTTGATTGAACTAATAATGCCCAGGAAGTGTACAAAGGCTACAGTCTGCCTTGTAGCACAGTGTCTAAGAATTCTAAAAATGGTTTTAAGATCTTGCTTGTCTGGAGTGATGTATTTATATTTACATACATGCATGTATGTAAATATAAGTCACATGTCAATAAATTCATTTTTTCATAACAGCAGCTGCTGTGAACAACAGCATTTGTGCTGCTGGAAAACATTCAGAAAGAAAATATAAATTGTCACTGAACCTATAATTTCATTGAAATAATAAAAGCCCAGTTACAGGAAATGTATCACCACAGCCAAATTCATAGTGCTGCTGAAAGAATCAGAGCTCAAAAATATTATTTTTTAAAATAACTAAAACTTTGTATATGACATTTTATGAAGGCTGTGAGAGAATTACCAGAGTGTTCCAGTGCAGGGAATGAATTTTTAAAATGGGATAATCAAAGCTCTCAGTGTAATGATGTGATCAATAACCTTCTTGTTGCAGCTGCCCACATCGGGGTTGGTATTAGTGGCCAGGAGGGGATGCAGGCAGTCTTGTCCAGTGACTTCTCCTTTGCACAGTTCCGTTACCTGCAGCGCCTGCTCTTGGTCCATGGCCGATGGTCCTACATCCGCATGTGCAAGTTCCTCAAATACTTCTTCTATAAGAATTTTGCCTTCACCTTAGTGCATTTCTGGTATGGCTTCTTCTCTGGCTTCTCAGCACAGGTAAGTCCAGCTTCTGTTTTCTCAGGGCCATGAAGATGATCACAGGGCAGCACCTCTCCTGTAAAGACAGGCTGAGAGAGCTGGGGTGGTTCAGCTGGGAGATAAGAAGGCTCCAGGGAGAACTTAGAGCACCTTCCAGTACCTAAATGGGCTGCAAGATTGCTGGAAATAAACTTCTTATCATGGCCTATTGTGATGGGGAAAAAGCTAATGGTTTTAAGCCAAAAGAAGGTAAATTTAGATTAGCTACAAGGAAGAAAGTTTTTAAATGAGGTGGTGAAACACTGACACAAATTGCCAGGAGAGGTGGTTGAAGTCCCATTCCTTGAAACATTCAAGGTCAGGTTGGACAGGGCTCTGAGTAACATGACCTAGTTGAAGATGTCCCTGCTAATTGCAGAGAGGTTGGACTAGATGACCTTTACAGGTCCCTTTCTACCAAAATCATTCTATGATTCTATGCCTAGTGTTTTCAAGCAGAGCATCTGGAAACATTTCAGAAGGAATTAAACTAAGCCATTCCTCCTACCTCTACTGAACAGACTCAGGTCTCTCTTCTCTAGCCATAAAGCAGATATTGCTGCCTTCATCACAGTGCTGGTATAGGGCAGATTCTTGAAGACATTTATAGAATTGTAGAATTAATAAGGTTAGAAAAGTCCTCAGGATCGCTGAGTCCAACCATTAATCCAACACTGCCATGCTCACTGCTAAATCATGTACCACACGCCACATCCACACGTGTTTTGGACATTGACCACCTTTTCATTGTAGAAACCTTTCTTAATATCCAGTATAAACCTCCCCTGGCATTTTGGTGCATTATGAAGCACATAGGCCACCTGCAGGATTTTCGAAAGTGTTCAAAGTGATTACAACCATCAGCTGCTGAAAAAGGTTACAGTTTGGTGCAGATCTTGTAAGACCTATGCTTACCCTGTTAGCACATTTGGAGCAAACAGTTTAATCCTGAGATACCTGTCTGCATCAGCAGCTTAAAAGAGGAGAACATCTACATTGAAAAAAATGGTATTGGTTCAGGGCAAACCAGTCTTCAACCAAACCCATGCATGAGAAGTGCAGATAACCAGGGAACTGCAGGTGCAGGGTGCAGGCAGGGTGGGTGCAGATTGGTGTGGAGGTATCCTGCTCGGGCTGCAGCCAGCAGTGAGTGCTGAACAGACTGGTCTGGCATAATGTGATCCTTCCTCTGTTTAGGAATGCTGAGCTTCAGTCATTCCTTTTGTCTCAGTAACATCTCAAACTAAGACGTTGCAGCTTTTAATTGTATAAACTTTCAAAGAAATGGAAGAGATAGCTTTTTGCTAACTTCATGCTCTATTTTGTTTTTTTCACAGACTGTCTATGATGAGTGGTTCATTACACTTTACAATTTGGTATATACCTCCCTTCCAGTACTAGGAATGAGCCTTTTTGATCAGGTACTGTTTCTGTCACCACTTAGGGAATTTTTTAATAGGGGTTTTGTCTCCAGGTGCTTTGAGCTGGCTCAACGAAGCGAAAGCAGCTGACCTTTAGGCTAGACATTGTGGTAGCCCTGAAATAGTTTTCTGCCAGTGAACACTTAGACCACAAAAAAGGATGCACCAGGGAGATTGTACATCAGACTGTGCAGGTTTAAGTAGTCCTGTGAGAAGTGTGGAGTTGGACTCAATGATCCAAATGGATCTCTCCAAATTGAGATAATCTGTGATTCTATGACTATCCTGATTTGGCCTGTGGGGTTTGGGGTGTGATGAGACTTTTGGTTTAGGCTGCTGCCTACAGTACAAGCTGTCATTGAAGCACTTCCCTGAAGCAGTTATTACCTACTAGCTGTGTTCCTGAAGTGTGAAAGGTGACTTTCTAATGACCAGACAAAGCAATTAATTAACTAGATCTTTGAAGCCAGATTTTCCAGGTTCAGCATTACTAGTGAGTTTTTTCTGTGGACGCTCCCACACACAGTTCTACCTCATTGCCACTGTTTGACAAGATGTAGGAGCAATAAAGCTGTTCCTATATGCATTTTATAAGTTAAATAAGTAGGAACTGGCTACTCTGCAGTGTTTCACATTGTCCAACTCTGGACATTTAAAGGATCCAAGTCAAACAGCCTTACCTGTGCATGGGCCTTGGGGAGGTATTTTCTAATCCTTAGTTTCCAGTCAACTCTCTGAAGAGCAGACCATGCAGTCTGCTTTAAATGAAGTGTATATTTTTTCCCCTTTTTTCATCATCTGTCAATTTTTTCAGCACAAGACAGGTGAAATACAACATTGAATGTATGACTAGGTGACCTTGGGATGTGTCATTCTAGTAAGCACAACTGAGTGAATTGTGTGCTAAGCCTTTTTTCATGGAAATGCATGTCACAAAGACATGGCAGCACTAAGTGGTCTCTGTGCTTGATTGGGTAGCTGTCAGCAAATCTGATCATCTCCTCTTTGCTTTCAGGATGTGGATGATCGTTGGAGCATGCTGTTTCCTCAGCTATATGTGCCTGGCCAGCAAAATCTCTACTTTAACAAAGTGGTGTTTGTCAAGTGCATGTTGCAAGGGATCTACAGTTCCCTCATCCTCTTCTTCATCCCCTATGGGGCCATGTACAATACAGTGAGGAGTGATGGGAAGGCCATTGCTGACTACCAGTCCTTTGCACTGATGGCCCAGACCTGCTTACTGATAGTCGTGTCTGTACAGGTAAGGCATCCCATGTAATATTTTTAGGAACTAATTGTTGTTTCATGATAGCAGCGTCTGGAGGGCCACTTGGGATCTTGATAGCATTATATTTCACAGAATCACAGAGTATTCAGAGTTGGAAGGGACCCACCCACAAGAATAATCAAGTCCAGCTCCTGGCCCTGTACAGGACATCCTCAAGAATCACACCATGTGCCTGAGAGCATTATCCAAATGCTTCCTGAACCTTTGCTGCTGCATCTTGCATTCTTGGGGGAAAAAAAGTCTCCTGATGCCTGATTAGTCTCCTCAGTTCAACAGAACAGGAGATTTGTATGTTAGGAAAGATCAGAGTGACAGGAAAGCAGTCTTTGCTTGGGGAAGTTTGCAGTCATAGCAAACAAATCAGTTAACGCAGGGAATAGAGAAGGATTTGTTCTAGTTTTATGGAAAGAGTTTGAAGCACAGGACTGTCTGCCTGCTATCAGGCAGGTATTTATAGGTTCTCCATCATGGAGCTGTCTCTGCAGCCTGGCCCCATGCATGATGCACATGCTAGGCCCGTACTTGATGAAAGAAATAGCTAAGACTTGGGTGATAGAAACTTCAGATGGGACTATCACTATGAAGAAGAAAAAGAAAGAAAAGACAAATTAAAAGAAAACCAATCAACCACATCTCCCTAGATACTTTTTTTCTGCTGTCTGAAGCCTTGTAGGCTCCTACGCCTAACTTTCAATGCTAGATCACAGCTTGGGGGTGGAGATATAAGCATGGCTCATTTGAACTTACTGTCTCCAGCCCCCAGTATAAGAAGGACAAGGACCTGTTGGAGCAAGTCCAGCACAGGGCCATGAAAATGATCAGAGGTTTGGAGCACCTCTGCTAAAAAGATGGGCTGAGAGGGTTGGGATTGTTTGGGCTGGAGAAGAGAAGGCTTTCAGAAGCCTTGCCGTACATAAAGGGGTCCCACAAAAAATCTAGAGAGGGATTTTTTTCAAAGGCATGGACAACAGTTACTGCTTTAAAATAAAAAAGAGCAAGTTCAGTATAGATATTAGGAAGAAATTCTTTACTGTGAGGGTGGTGAGGCACGAGGACAGGTTGCCCAGAGACATTGTGGGTGCCCCATCCCTGGACATGTCCAAGGCCAGGTTGAATGAGGCTTTGAGCAACCTGGTCTAGTGCAAGGTGTCCCTGGCCATGACAGGGAGATTGGAACAAAATGATCTTTAAGGTCCCTTAATAGCCTGTGAATGCTTGAGAAGAGGACAACAACAAGACTGTTGGGAAAGGGAAAGTTCCGCAC